GTCCTGAGGACGCCGCCCGCCCGGACCGCCCCTCGAGCGTTTCTCAGGCTCTGCAAATTAGGCTACTTGTCTTGTCTCGTCTCCAAAGATTCTTCTTTTTTCCCCACAATGTGAAGTATATTTATTAAAGTCCTCACGATACACAGAAACAAGATCACAAAAACTGTCAACCAGATGCATTTTTGTAAAAAAAAAAATATGTACACACAGTGAAAATACAAAGACAGTATTTCAAATGTTAGCAGTAGTTTATCTTTGGAAAGTATGATCATGTGTGATTTCTTTTGGTTTATGTATTTTCTATAATGAACATATTTCTTTTATAATTCTGAAAACTACTTTGGTTTTTTAAACCATTTTTAAGTTATTTTTTTAATTTTTCTGTTACAGTTTACTTTCAGTAGTATTTTCAAATATTTAAAACAAAGGAACTCCTGGCTTTATCCACAAGTGAAGAACAAATACCTTTTGGCTAAAACGTCACCCAGGGCTTGGGAAGAGCCATGCACAGGGCAGGGAGTCACCTGTGAGGGGCCCTGGTCTGCCTTAGGGGACAAAGAGCAGCCATGGGGATATTAGGGGCTTGGGACACTCACACCACCACCTTCATGGTCTCCAGTGGTCACTAATGTCACAGGGAAAGTAGCAACACTATGTCATTTCAGAACTCAACACGGTGATAGGAAAATACCTAGCATCTAGGCTCTGGAGTTGGCCCCTGGTGTAACAATCTGTGCACACTTGAGCCTTGGTTTCACGGTCTATAAAATGGGTTTACTGATACTACCTCACAGAGCTGTTAGGACAAACAGCTGTCGTTGTTTCTGTAAGGTTGAATCATGTGGCATCGCCAACATTTGGCCTGTTGGGTTTTTTTTACCTACGTCATCCACCCTGTTGCTGCTGTGGTTCCCATGTGAGGGAAGATGACAAGAATATCATCTACATGGAGGGTAAATGGAGGCAAAGGTGGAGGATAAGTTGCCTAAGATCACACTGGGAAGAGGCAAAGGGACCAAGGCAGTAGTCCCTTGGATTCAGTCTGTACATTCTCCATGACCAAGATTCCTTTGGCCACTTGAAGCTGGGTCCTCAAAAAACAACAAAAACGTTAATAAAAGGACAGTGCCTTTCATGCCCATTTCACTAGGGATGTTTTAGTTCTAATTTTTTTAACTGTGGCCTCCAAATGTTCAGCATGTTGGATAAGGGGGCAGGACAGGGCTGAGATGTTCTCCAATAACAATACTTTCCAAATGTAAGAACTTTCAACTCTTCCTGAAGGACCCTTTTAAACTGATACTATTTTGTTTTTGGTACAGTTTGACAATATTATAATTTGATGTTTTATAAATCTGCTCCAAAGTGGTGAGGAACATGGGATTTGGTTTTTGAATTACTGATTCCTGGCTGTATAATTTAGGCAAGTGACTTGACCTTCCCGAGCCTCTGTTTCCCTTACCTGTAAAATGGTGACAGTGATGGTCCTTTTGAAAATTACATTGTAAAACATCTGACAGAGGGAGCAGATAATAAATGTGGTTGGGGGGGGTCTGTTTTTAACAACAGAGTGAGTCCCTGGTTTCTACATCCTGTTATGGAAATGAGCCAGCTATTGAGGGTTCATAAGAACTCACGGGAACATGACCTTAACCAGAGGAGAAAAGTAGCTGGTTTTGCAGGAAAAGTGACAATGGCCTCAACTCCTCTGCGAGCAGAAGACAGTGCTGAGCGGGGGCCACTGTGCTTGGGATTCTAGCTCTGCCCTCGAGGAAGGAGGCAATACCTCGATCAAACGTTTTTTTCTTGAGATGTTTCCCAGCAATTCCAAGCTGGTCTAGATCTTTCATGGTTACCTACCTTTTTTAAAATCTTTTTTTATACTACGCCTTGTTGCAAAAAAGGATTTCATCCAGTTCCTTGATGTGGGTGGAGGGGTCATGTGTTTGCACGATTAAAATAACTTAAAAGGACAATTTAACACATTTGTATGAGTTGTTGCACTGTTTTACATTGCTAGTGGAAATTTTTAATGGGTGTTTTATTTTCCTATGCTTTTCATTTGCTTCCCTGTCAATCCTGTCAAAGGCAGTATTGTCCAGGTTCTACAGATCAGAGGATGGAGGTCAGAGACTCACCTGAGGTTAAAACAAGCAAATGGTAGTGAGTGTCTGGGGTCCCACTACATCACTGTGTGGGTGTGGCCCTTCAGAACCACGCAGGATGGGGAATGGCCTGCCTGGGTTGCTGTGGCTGAGCACAGACTGCTTAGGACTGACCGTGGGGGACTTCCTGGATAAGGAGCAGCCACATCTAGGAACAAGTGACCCACACCAAGGGCCCGGGACACAAGGATGTACAACTGTGTTGTTCTCAGACATGAGCCCTTTGCTCTCCTCATGATCACCAGGAGTCAGTCACTCTTACGCTCTGAGTGTAAGTTCTCAACCCTGGCCGCACGTGCAAGTCCACCGGGCCCCACACCCCAAGTACAGGACTGGGGGCTTTTGCAACACTCCTCAGATGATCCAGATTTGCAGCCAGGGGTGAGAACCAGGGCCCCGAATGCCACATTTATGCAGCAGACTCCCAGAACCTGATTTGCAGGGACCCTGGAGAGAGACCGTTGGATATCCCTACGCCAGCTCACTCAGAGGGGACTTGACTGAGTCCACGCCTGCCCCTCTTGGACCACAAGGCAAAGGAGGGACCTCCTGGGTGGTCTGGACGTCTTCGAGACAGTCTTGTCTAGTGGGTCTAGTGCAGCCCAAGGGCTCATCTGTATCAGATAGGGCAGTGGCCAGCTGTGGGAAACATTGTGTCAGAGGGGCTCTGGGCCCCTGGACTGGCACAGTCCAGCCAAGAAATGGTGTTTATTTCCTGGAACTCACCAGAGTCCAGCCTCAGGGAGGGGTGCCCCACCAGCGCAGCTGCCTGACTTCCTGTTGGCTGCGGGGTTTGCCCAGACAATCCCACTCACACTGGTTCTCCTTGCAAGACTAACTTATCCTCAAAACAGCTCACACTTTACATTCTGTAAACCTGTTTTCTCCTAGTAACCAACCCATTCACCAGGAAGAATCCCTGAGGCTCCAAGCTCTCTTCTGGAAACTAAGCCAAACCACAACTGAACCCGTTACATCACCACCTTCCTCTTTCTTGTGTGGGTAGCCAGAGGGGCTCTAAACCCGTTTCCTTCTCCAGCCCTCTCCCCACTGCTAGGGCACAGAATGGGGTGGGTTCAGTGGGTTAGGTCCCAAACTAGCACTACTGACTTCAGCTTCTAGGTGCTGAAATAATCCAGTCTCCTGACGGAATCGATTACGAACGCCCTGGGCCACACTGAGAACTGGGGCTGAAATCCCCAACTCCAGGGCTTGGAATAGACGGATGGGGAAATGGGCCTCACGTGCGCCAGCAACTGAGTCCTCACTTCCTGATTCTCAGACACCCTGATAGATCAGGAAACAAACATGGGCTGACACTGCCCTGCGCAGGAGCCGGGGGCTCAGAGCAGGGAGCTTGGAGGGGAGGGGCGGCAGACAAGCAGACAAGAGATAAGACAAGGACCATAATAGGAGTAATTACAGGTCCTAGGCCCCCTTGGTGGTGGAATGGAGGTGGGGCTGCCATCCTGAGAGAGAAGAGCCTGCAGGGCAGGATCAAAGACAGATGAAAGGAATCCCAGGTACAGGACAGCACGTGGGTGCTGGGAGGGAGAGGTAGAGTCACTACAACCAGGATCTCTCTTCTGCGCCCTATTCTTCGATCCTGACTCATCAGTGCTTATAAAGCCAAACTCTGACTTAGTTTTGTTGACATCTTAGGAACTGAGGATAGGTTTATAGTCAAATTCATTTTTTTTTAACTACTGACTCAGAAAAAAAGAGAAAGGATTTTTCTGTCCTGGGCTAACTCACATCTGAGGAGCTGGGAGAGCTACCATACCAGGTGTACATTCATACAGATTTCTAACACCAGCCCTACTCGGTACTATGTCTCAGTAGAACCAAGATGACATCAGTGGCAGACACTGCTTCATGTCTCATGAGGAAGAAACACGTCCCATTGAAAATCCATTGAAAGCTGTGAGCCAAGCACACACCTGATTATCAGGAATTCAATGACCAAAACTTAACTTTGGACAATTGGTAGACCCCCAAGTAAAGAGCCCTTGATTAGTAGAGAACCAGTAGGGCTGGCTTTCCTACTTCACATTTCAGGAATAGCTAGAATGAATTTTAAAGGGAACTGGTTGATAGTCAACAATTCTAAGACAAGTTTCCAGTGCCTGAACTTGGGGCCCAGAAATACCCGGGGTGAAATTCCCACTGTGCTGGAGAAGCACCTGGGTGGCTTCCATGGCCCTCGGGGAGAAAGTAATGGAAAGTTTGGGGTATTTCCAGGTGAACAACTTGAAATTTGTGTTACTTAATGACCCAGGAAAAGATGACCTTCCAGTGCCTGAGAGTTACAGATTCCTTTTAAGTTTCAGAAAGGAAAACATTTTCCTAAATTTATCAGGTTTCTGGAGTTCCAGTGGGGCTCTCTGCCTGCTATGCTCGTTTAGAGGCTCACAGAACCCAGGGGGCAACATTCCAGACACCAAGGAAGCCGCAGATGTCCTGGGACTCCAGGAAAGGGGCCAAGGGGCCTGCGTTCAAGGAAGTTGTTCCAGGGCAGAGGGCTCACTTACTGAATCTGGCAAAAGGAATAAAGGACACGGAGCTCCTGGTCACTACCTTGGGGCCGAGTTTTCGTGACGCCACAAAATACAAAGGGAAGGAGGCCCCAAGGACTAAACTGAAATTCTCTGAGTTAGTGACACCACTGTGACTGGGTTCTGAGGCTCAGTGAGGTGACCTTGGTAAGGGCCAGTGCAGGCCAGGACTTTAGCTGGAGAATGAACAGGAGAAGGGCCTCAAATTCTGGCTCCAATGGTGGCAGGTGGGCATGATATCAGGGAGGAAGGCTGGCCCCAGGGACACTGCAGTGAACTGAAGGGCTGGCATTGAGGGCAGAAGGGGGTGAGCCTGCTGCCAGGAAGCAGAGGTGCGGCACGGAGGGCAGCAGCTCCCTGTCAGCTCTCTGCCCACGTAGGTCCACTGCTGTGGGCCCCTTCCCTCATCTATAGAATGGGACAGTGACAGAGACCTCCTGGAATTACCACAAGAACATTTAGTTCAGTTTCCCAGTAACAGCCTACAACAGACCTCCTCTGAGGGTCGACCATGCAACCCTCCCTTAGAAAGACAGGGTCCTCTTGGAGGAAACAGGACCATCAAGGCCCAAAGAGGAACCACCTGCTACTCTCATTTGTGCATTCATTCAGTTCAAACTTTTATTAAAGCGCCTACAGTGTACCAGGCCCTGGGGTGACAAGGTTGGGTAACAGCCCCCCCCCCCCC